TATATATAGAATTTGGAGTATTTTAATTCGGTTAATAATACCTACAAGAATTGCTATTAGTCTTATTAAGGTGGTGTTTTTATTCTTTTTAACATCCTATCATTCACAGACAAAAATTCTATCTTTGAGTGTAAACTTCATAAATTTCTAATCTTAAATATATAGATAACTCAGCTTAATCAGGAGCAGTTCTATAAATAACTTAAAGCAATGTGACTTTTGAGGGAACAATATTTAGAAAAAATTATGCCAACAACGGAGGAGTTATTTTTATTGATAAATGGTCAAAATTGATTGTTAAAAGCTGCAATTTTTATAAAAACATGGCTCTTGACAAAGCTGGTGTTATAAATTTAGCTACTCTAGCATATTTTAAGATATATGATTCAAATTTTAATGATAATTATGCAAAGGAAAATTCAGTTATTAATGTGCTTGAATCTAGTAAAGTAAATTAATTCTATATTTTATATTTTATGTTAGGAAAATGAACTACTTTTATCCAACTGCAAATTTGTATCAAATTCAGCTGTAAAGAATACTATTCAAATTATGTTTGCTTAAAAATCACGAATTGAAGGATGCCAATTCAAGTATAATTATGCTAGTGAAGATTCGAAAAACATTTTTATTGGCTTTTCAAATCTCACAATATCAAACTCAAAATTCTTTGATGATGAAAGGTAAATACAATGGTATTGATGAGTTTATAAATTTAGCGATCCATTAAAATAATAAGTCTTAGCCTCTAATAAAAGTGTAAGAGGAGCTTTCATAAGTGCAAACTTAAATTCTAATCTAACTATTGATAATTGCAAATTCTAATATGGATATGGATAGTATGGTGGGTCAATATACTTATATGGAGGTAATATTAGCTTGGTTTAATTTATTTTTAGAATCTTCTCTTATTGCCACATCAAGTGAATTTTAATATTCTTATGCTCATTTATTGGGAGGAGCCATTTACGCGATATCATTTGAATAGATCTCTCTGGATAAAGTTAACTTTCATGAGAACTTTGCTTAATCTTCTGGGGGAGACATTTATGCTTAGGATTCTAAAGGAAATATTGAGATAAATAATACTAACATTTTTAATCTAAAATCCTCTAATTCTTTGCAATTATAATCAGTCAACTTTCATGCATATAATCTTGAAATCATAAGTAAATTCATATCACTTTTCAAATTATATTTAGGATCCAAGACATCACCAAACAAAATTGATAAAGGTGGCTCTATTTATGCCATAGATTGCTTAAATTTTAAGGTTGATAATTTGAGAGTTAAAGAATCTTATGCATCACAAGGAGGAGCTATTTATCTTAACTAGCAGCAAGAAGCGGTTTAGAGATATCTTAAAAACGATAGGCAATACTATTATAAGGTATGCATATACATTAATTTAAATATAGATTATTAATTCCAACTTTTAAAATTGCTTATCAAAGCAAGAAGGAGGAGCCATTTACCTGAAGAATATTTTCAGGAGTCTCTTGGAGAGTAATAAGTTTGTTTCAAATTAAGCAGAGACAGGAGGTGCCTTGTATTTTGAGTGCCCTGATCCATACAATTGTGAATATGCTTTTTCAGTGAATAATACTTTTTAAAATAACTTTGCTACAATATCTGGAGGGGCATTTTACTGGAATGATGTAGAACCTATATAGATAAATAAGTACTAAGCCTCATTTCAAAATAATTCAGCTTTTATGTATGCTAATAACATTGGAAGTTATCCTTAAAAGCTTATATATATCACCTCCCAGTAATTCAATGCTTAACTTGTCAGAGCTAATTAGATTTCTCTTGATTATGGGTAAAGAAGATAGCTCTAGGATCAAGCACTTAATTTATAATAAACATCTATAGAAAAGGATTCGGTTGCCAGTGGATCTGAATTACCTGAAATGTATCTTGCTTTAGTAGATGGATTAGGTTAGATAGTAGGAACAGAGGACAACTAAAAGCTTGAAGTGGTGTTTAAAGGAATTTTAAGCAATCAAAACAAATCCTAAATTTATAAGCCTACATTAGCAGGTGATATGAAATTCTATTCTCTAGCAGGAGTATATGTAATTAGTAAATTGAACTTTACAGCTTCTCCTGGTTACAAGTATCAATTATCCTTTTAATCAGATGGTATTGATTAGAAGAAACCTGCAAATAGCTAAAATTTAGAAAAATCAAACTAAGCAAGTCAAAATAATGCACAAGAGTAGTTTGAGTTTGCCTTGCAGATATAACTCAGAGAGTGTCTAGTTGGAGAAAGATTTACGGAGACAGGAGCGTAATATATTAATAGTAATAATTTTATTAGATGTGAAAAATGCCCACAAGGTAAATCATTCTCATTAGTTTAAATGAACGAGCCTGGAAACTGTAAGACTTGTCCAGCATCTTTAGCTATCTGTAATGGAGGTGCAGAACTTGGACCTTAACCAGGCTTTTGGAGAAATAGTAACGTATCTTATTCATTTATAAAATGCTTGAATCCTGATGCTTGTTTGTAAGTATATGTTTATAAAATAATTACAGGGGAATGATCCCTCCAGAAAATAATCCTCAAGGGTCATGCTTAGAAGGTTATAAAGGGATATTATGCGCAGATTGCTAAGTCGGTTATTCGTATACAGATTCTAGATTTAAATGTGCTAAATGTCCTGATTTTACTTACAACTTATTGAGACTCATTGCAATACTGATCGTTGCAGTTTTTATAGCTGTATTCTTAATAAGAAGCACTCTTCATGGAGCTGCAAATCTTAAAAATAAGACTAGCGTTTTCTAAAAGATCCTTTTAAATCATATTCAGCTTATAGTGTTGACTTCCTCTTTTGATTTCGATTGGCCACAATTAGTTTTAAGTTATTTCTAAGCTAATAAGGTTGTGGGAGACGCAGCTTACTAAGTATTCTCTATTGATTGCTTGCTAAGCAGCTATGACTATTATAATAGCAGGGAAAAATAAAATTTGGAAGTTAGCTGGAATACTTTCATGAATATAAAGATATTTTACTTTAAGCTCTCGATGCTATCACTTTTACCATTACTAATTGTGATCATCTGCTCATTGGTATGGAGGCTAATATATCTAAATGAAAAGAGAAGTGAGATAGTTTTCTCAAAAATAGTGTCATCGATAGTGATCCTTCTCTTCTTAGTTCATCCTAACATTGTAAAATATGTCTTTGATGTATTCAAGTAAGTCTTTTTCATAATTTACGTGGAAATAGTTGTGTTGACATTGATGGGGAATCCAGACTAAAAAATGACTTAGCATTAATTTGTTATTCCAACAAACATTAATTTTGGGCATTCGGATTGGGTCTGCCAGTATTAATTGTATGGGGTCTTGGGATACCCTTGTTTGCATTTATTCTTATTGAAACAGAGAAAAAATCACTAGAGAGCGTTGCGACTAGAGAAAAATATGGATTCTTATACAGAGGATACAAATCAAGATTTTATTACTGGGAAATATTCATAACCTACAGGAAAATGTTCCTTATTTTCATATAAGTTTTCTTAATATACTATGGAGTTCTAACACAGGTAAATTTCATAAAATAATTCTAAAAAAGGCTATGATTGTATTATTGATGATTATCATTCTTTTGGCAATAAATATCACCAAGAACCCATTCTAAACTTAGGCTTTAAATGAACTAGAGACACTTTCATTGATCACCTCTTTAATAACTGTTTTTTGTGGAATCTTCTTCATTATTAATGGTAGCTAGTATAACTTAGAATCAGAAAATGATGTCGCAATGAAATCTCAAAGTAATTCCATTATATCTAATTTTATATAGTTAATCTAACATAAGACAATAAAACATCACTCTTCTTAATCATTATTCTAAGTAACTTGATATTCTTTTTCTTTTGGGTTTATAAGTTTTATCTTGAGTTAAAATTCATGATAGTGACCAAATTCTCAAAGATTTATACTATCGTATGTTTATGTGGTAACTAGTCAAAATATGAAATAATATCTTAAAAACAATAAGATGATAAAGAAAATGAAGTCCTAAAGGAAAAATACTAAGAGTTATTAAGGAATCTTAGCAGACTTTGTTAAGATGGTAATCTACTCTTAGATTAGAAAAATATTGAGAAAATTCAAATTTATCTTTCTAAAGAATAGTTCATGATCAACACAGGCCTATAAGATAGAATGGAAATTCATCAAGCAGAGAATTTAGCGATTAAACGTAAAGTAAGAGTGAAAAAATCAAGCAATTTAAGAAATCAAATATTCGGGGAGGATGATAAAAAAGATTTAAATATTCGAAAAGATACATAGTAAAGCAATGACAAAGAAATAGACTTAAATTTCTATCAATCATAATCTGAAGATAACAAAAATGAAGTTTCTGACATTGATTCAGTAAGTGAAATTTAAGAAAATGAATTAATATCAATGAGCAATTTTTCGCGAGTTTAATTAAAGAGGGAATTTTTATCATCAAATTAAGTAACTTCCAATATCTATGAAAATACGTTAAATAGAGGTGGCTCAAAAAATAGTATTGGTAATAACTCTATAGACAGTTACAATAAAAACGCATTAAAAAACTCTAAAAAGCAAAAATCTATAAAAAGTAAATTTATTAAGTTTAAGGAAAATGATAAATTTACTCCTTAAGTTCCCCAGAAAGAAGATTAATTCTAAGTAATGAATAATAGATGGATAGATGATTTCTAAACATAGGAATTTGAATTAGATGATTATTAATTTACAAACGAAGATGAAAAGACTAAAATTGAGGATAAATCTTCAGGATAAAAGAACCTCTCAAAGACTAATAGCAAAGAAAAGTATTAAGATCAATTTGAATAGAGTTCTTAAAATGGTAAATAAAGTAAATTAAAAGATTAGAATATGAATCAAGATAGATCATCTTAGGAAAATTAATAAGATTAATAAAGTGAACTTAGCTTTCTTTAACTTTAGCAAGTAGAAAGAAAAAATCAAGATCAAGTCATTCAAATTATCTAAAGACAAAATAAAACTAACAAATTCAAAAATAATCACATTCATAGAAACTTAAATGACAAAGTAGAGCCAAATCTACATAGTAAAAGTAGTACAAGAAAGTTAAGAGAATAAATAATGAACTAAAATGATAAATTATATTTAGAAGATACAGTTGACATAGATCTTGACTTCCAAGATAGTTTTGATCAAGAAAATAGTGTTAAAGCAAATGAAAATAGTGTTAAAGCAAATGAAAATAGCAAAAACATATTTGAAACAGTCCAAAAAGATTCAAGTAATGGCAAAAGTTCCTCTGAATATATAGAGTTACCTCAGGTAAGAAATCAATATAATAAACATAATTTTATAGCCATTTGAAACAGTTTAAGATTAGAAAGAAGATTTAGACAATACTAAGAGAATCCTTCTCGATGAAAGCAATTCTAACTTAAATGTTAGTAGAGAATCATTTGGATCATTTTAAGATTTTCAAAATGTGGATTTCAAATCAACAAATTACAAGGATTTTATCTAAAGATTTAGAAACTGAGTAAAACAAATAATGATTATAAAAAATTGAATATAATTTGATTTTTATTAATTATTTAATCTTGATTTCATCATTCTGTTTAACTTAATTGCCTCACGGGGTTTTGGGGTTTTGGGG